TAGATGACATCTAGATGTCGCCCTATGTACTACGTTTGCTACAGCGGAAATAGACGACACGCCATTTCTTTAAATAAAATTAATTGGTGCCCTCGCCCTATTCACTACAGATGTCGCCCTATGCACTATGCTTTTTTTTTTTGAACTTTTCAAAGCAAAGGTTTTATGGTGTCGGACACACAACATTGAAAGTTTCTGGATCTACAACATTGAAAGTTTCTGGACACACAACATTGCAAGTTGATAAAAGCGTTGTAAAAAAAATAGCAATCCACAAGGCTTTATTGCACATTTAACAAAAAAAAAATAAGCTTCTGGTTTCGAAGCTAGCACAAAATAAAACTCTTTTTATTTGTTGTTTACAAAAAATTATTGCCAATTATATAAGTCAAAATTGTTAAGTATATGTATGTCTATCGCTTTCATTAATTTCTTCATAGAGTTGGTGCTTGTTTTATAGGAAAGTTCATACGGCTTATGAACAGATTCATACCATGTAAATGCACAATTATGAATACATGTGTAGATGAATCACTCAGAAAAAACATTCCTTGATGCTAGGAAAAAAGTATATTATTCTAAGAAAATATTGCCTTGAAATGGTTCCAATGACTTGGCTGCCTTAATACGAGTATACGATTTGACTCCCCAGCCAANTTCCTTGATGCTAGGAAAAAAGTATATTATTCTAAGAAAATATTGCCTTGAAATGGTTCCAATGACTTGGCTGCCTTAATACGAGTATACGATTTGACTCCCCAGCCAACAAAGAAACGTAAATTTTTCCGACAGTGCAGTTTAGTTCAATTTTCCGTATCCGAAAACGAATAGAAAAACTCCTACAGTTATCATCAATTTTCGTATCCGGAAAACGTTCGAATCGTTCGCAAAAGGTGATGTCATTTTAAAGCAATAATTGTATTTTATTTTCTAAAGCTACCCAGCCAGCAAAATATCCGGAAACGTATCCGAAAATGGAAACAATTTCGTATAAAAACCTGATGTTTCATCCGTTTTCCGATTCCGTTTTCGGGCGTTTTTCAGATCAATTCTCCCACTGAAGTGTTCATCCGAAACGTATGTGCAGAAAACTATCGAAAATGGTTGTAAAGCGGATGCGCTTTCGGCTGTTTTCCTGAAATTTGTCTGATACAATTTTTCGTTGAAAACGATTTCATTATGAACTTCACAGAAACTTTTTCATAGTTACAGGAAACCAAACAAAAAACAAATTTAAGATTCAGCAATTATTTCAATTTGAATAACTAATTTTAATGTGTTGCTTCTGACGGAATTCGAACCTGGGACATCCTGAAAGCTAACAAATAGTAGCACACTTCTCTGCACACTCAGTTACTGGCGAATATGTATACATGTTTTCAAATGCTCAGTTTGAACAAATATTTTAAAATTATTGTTTTGAAATAAGATGATGACATTTTTCGGATACGAAAAATTAACAAATATGAAAATCGTTTTCTGAACATTTCCGGAAACGAAAAATGTACGAAAACTGCACTTTCGGCAAAAAGTACGTTTCTCTGCTGGCTGGGTAAACATTTTAAAGCATGAATGCTTAGTTGGTAGTGGCTGGGCGTGCAGAGGAGTGTGCCTCTATTTGTTAACTTGCAGAAGGTACCGAATTCCGTCAGACGCCTGATAATTTTATTTTATTTCTTTTGAACCCTGAAAATGTATCTGTGAGGTGCAGAAGGAAAGCGCATTGAACGAAAAATTCAAACAGACAAATTTCAGAAAAGACAGCCGGAAACGTATCCGTTTCACATACTGTTGCCTGTTCATACGTTTCTGCCGCACACTTTAGTGGGAAAACGGATCGTCAAAGTATACGAAAATGGAATCAGTAAACGGACAAAACTCCGCACTTCATCCAATTTTTTGTCCTTTTTCGGATCGGTTTTTGGGTTTTTTGCTAGCTGGGTCAGTTTAAGGAATACACATTTCCCCTAGCTTTTGGGAAAAATTTACTTGCCATTTCATCCCCCGTGAAAGGAATAAGTATGTAATTTTGCTCGTGGCGCTCATACAGTGGCAATGGCCGACAGAGCAAAGCTCTGAAGTGCTAGTCGAGGGATGCAAGGTTCGAGTCCCAGAGCAGGATTTTCTATTTTTTTTATTTTATTTTATATTTATGTTGAATATAATTGTTATAAGGCCATAAATAAACAAAAAACAGATAATATTTTTAATTGTAATTTTTTAAAGTGTATCTAATTTATTTTTTATGGTATTTGAATATTTAGGATTTTCCATATATGAAATTAATTTTACAATTTGTAATTTATATTTAAATTGAAATAATTGACTTACCTTACTCTAACCACCTCCAACCGGACTCGAACCTGCGATCTCAGAAACAGAAGCAGTAGTCTTCACGCGACGCCACAGCCGACATTTGCCAGGAAAGCAATTAACTGTGTCTTAACAGCACTGACAAAATTCAAAATTATTTAAGGATATTATTACTTATTCGAGTAAATTTACTTCCTCAAATTAATGATGCCCTATTTTTAGCATGAACCTGAATTAAGGAAAAACTTCTCAAATTGAGTAAATTTTTCGTAATAAGGAAAAAACAGTAACTCTAAAATAAGTATACTTTTTCTTGTTTTACGGCTTTTTTCTGGGTGATTACTTTTAAAGATAAAACANGAACCTGAATTAAGGAAAAACTTCTCAAATTGAGTAAATTTTTCGTAATAAGGAAAAAACAGTAACTCTAAAATAAGTATACTTTTTCTTGTTTTACGGCTTTTTTCTGAGTGATTACTTTTAAAGATAAAACAAACAGAAAGATCTCCAATATATAAATAATACATAAATTGTTTTTTTTTTGTAATTTGACGAAATTTCGTGCGAAATCGGCTGAATTCGCATATAAGCAAATATATTTATTAATCTTTTTACAAAAGTGATACAAAAATGTTGGGCCATGATAAATTTTAATGTTTTTGGGATCGCTGATTAAATGGTGGACCCAATATGGCGGCNCAGTAACTCTAAAATAAGTATACTTTTTCTTGTTTTACGGCTTTTTTCTGAGTGATTACTTTTAAAGATAAAACAAACAGAAAGATCTCCAATATTTAAATAATACATAAATTGCTTTTTTTTTGTAATTTGACGAAATTTCGTGCGAAATCGGCTGAATTATTACAAAAGTGATACAAAAATGTTGGGCCATGATAAATTTTAATGTTTTTGGGATCGCTGATTAAATGGTGGACCCAATATGGCGGCAAAAAAAAATTTAAGTCATTTAGATTCGCTAAAAAACTTTACATCGGATTTCAAATATTCAAAATTTCGGCTCCATATTGAATCTACCATTTAAAGTTAAAACCGAACGAATGTACACGGCGTATGAGTAACAAAAAATTTTAAAGAAAATGTTCTTTTAAATATTTTTATTTTTTATGCTATTAAAGTAGAAGGACGAAATTCGAGGATATGGTCGTGTGTATATTTATTCTTAACCTATAATTTTTTCAAAAGCAAATACTGCAAATTTGCAACGACACTTTACCTATTACCAATACCTATTCGTCCTTATGCACCAAAAAATTTAATATTTTTCAATTCTACAGAATTTCATCTTTTATTTGGTACCCATACAGATATTCTATATAACGATGAATTTTTTAAATAATTTTTGGAACTAATCAAACCTCTCAGTTTTCAAAGTCCTTAAAAAAATCCTAACTCCAGAGAAAGAAACTACTATATTTTGCTCCTTGTTTTGGAGTATAATTTTTTGTGTGCAAAATTGACTTTTGCTCGGTGTAATTCATGTTATGATTAACTTGATTTTTTTGAGTGACATGCCACTTTCAAAATAAACATTTTCGTTATTCCGCTGATTAGTAAAACTTCTCTCGAACAGAACCTCAGTAGCTCTAAACATTTCTATGATTTTTTTTTCAATTTGCAGATACCGTTAAATTCTAATTGGTGTTATCATTAATTAATTTTTTTGAAAAGGCGACTTATGCCACTTTCAAAATAAACGGCTCATATGTATATCTATATCATCTTAACAGCATGCAAAGTTCGATAAAGAAACTATTCAAATTGTATTCTAAAATAAATGTTATTCTTCTTACATCGACTACTACGAGGTATACAACGTGTACCGGATGAAACAGCACCGCACCATGGGAAGCAAGCGACTATTGCATCGAGCTGCTCATACGTGTCGCTTATGACTGTTAACAAATTATTTCATCGGCCATAAAGACATCGTAGAATTTGTTTAAAATTCAAGCGTTACATATCATATTCCAGTGAAAGCATTTAAAAAAAGGGTAGAAAAGAGCACCAAAAATTGTCCATTACATTTACCAAAAAATATATGTACATATGTATATGCACCACACCATCTGGTTCAAATATTTTTACACAAGAAAAGTTAGCATTCTTTACATGATATATGTACAAAAATTACCAAAAATCATTTACAAGAACAGTGTCATACTTGAATTGGACACCTCCTTAACGTATTGCAGGGATAGTCGTTTTAAATAGTTGGCGTCCTCTTCCGCTACAAAGAAACCCATAAAATTCTGACTCATATAAGGCTCCAACTTTAGGGGTCGATCTAGAAGGGCCCCACTCATGTCAACAACCTGTTTTAGAGCTTTGGATAATTGCAGTGAACTCTCATCCGGAGCCTTTAAACACAAAAAGAAAGCAACGAGAATAGTTATTAAAAATTCAAATAATTAAATAGTTATATATATTTGCTCTAACTAAAATTAACTACACGACACTAAAATTGAACTATTTATGTCGTTCGGTAATGGACGAAACTGATTTTAAATATTTTAAACGACGCCCTGAACTTCTTCACTTATTTATAAAAAACGTTGCGAATATTCAGAGTCGTACGAGTATTTAGTCGTAGAATAGTCGATTTGGTGTCGACTTATCCGCTAAGTACCAGCATACAATTTTTTTTCACCTGCAGTTTTATAGCTCATTCAATTTCAATACAATAAAGTGCATGTTAGAAGCGGCAGCGCATTCGCATTACATTTCATATACAAAAATTGTATACAAAAATTTGAGCAAAGTTTTTGAGGAAAAAAATGCTTTACTAAAATCCCTCTAAGACGCGAATGACTAAAACTCCAACACATTCACAAATAAAACTAACCCATATGCAAAAATGTATATGCCAGTCGAGTCGGATAGAATAGTGACAATCATTTTACCTGTCATATGATTGACAATGCTGGTAGAATAAGAATTTTTTTCAGTGACTATCATTTGACCGGTCAGATTATTGTCACTGATGATGGAAAGGTTCACAAGAAAAGAAAATATGTACATCACTATAAATCACAATTAAAAAATTCTAGAAGAGAAAGGACGATATTTTTGGACAGGATTTTCGATACCTTCAACTTTTGTGAAGCGTCCGTATTTATTTGCGAGTATTTTTCAGAACGTGTATAAAGCTTCATTCACTCACATGGCACTCATTCGAGGATCGATAGCACGTTTTTGAGAGTTTCGATAGTAAAACTAATTTTTGCGTATGGAACTGAAGAATCGCAACTTCACACCGAACGAACCACAGGTTGCCGACCCCTGACACAGTGTCTTCAGATTTCTTTGGAAAAAAATGTTTAAATTAAATTAAGATACTTTTTTCCTCCGGTGTAATTCAAGAAATAGTAAACGCTCTTTACTGTATTTTACATACGAGAACGAAAGTTTAAAGCTCAATTGCTTCGAGTCTGCCAATTTATATGAGGTGCTTTTAATTTTTGGTTCTCTGTCTGGTAAGGTACCCGCTATTTTTAACCAGAAGTGTAGTCATCTGCAATATCGCCGAACCTATCGTAGTTCAATTTTCGTGAATAGGCGATCACTGAACCGATTTGCTGCGAACTTATGAACTCAAAGGCCCATATTCATAGTCGTAAATTAAAACTCATTCCNCTGTCTGGTAAGGTACCCGCTATTTTTAACCAGAAGTGTAGTCATCTGCACTATCGCCGAACCTATCGTAGTTCAATTTTCGTGAATAGGCGATCACTGAACCGATTTGCTACGAACTTATGAACTCAAAGGCCCATATTCATAGTCGTAAATTAAAACTCATTCTTGTTAAAATAAAGTTTTAAGTTTAGAATAGATTTTTAAGTTGTGCCTATCATGACATCTTAAAGCGGATTCATCGTTCCAGTTCTGAACTAAAGTTGAAGTTGAGTTCACAACTAAAAAGCGTTCAGAACTTTTCTCAGTTGCCCTCCAAGAGAGAAAAACACAACAACAAGCACATGAAAGAAAAGTTCTGAAGATNTTATGAACTCAAAGGCCCATATTCATAGTCGTAAATTAAAACTCATTCTTGTTAAAATAAAGTTTTAAGTTTAGAATAGATTTTTAAGTTGTGCCTATCATGACATCTTAAAGCGGATTCATCGTTCCAGTTCTGAACTAAAGTTGAAGTTGAGTTCACAACTAAAAAGCGTTCAGAACTTTTCTCAGTTGCCCTCCAAGAGAGAAAAACACAACAACAAGCACATGAAAGAAAAGTTCTGAACTGTAACGATCAAGCCATAGGCAAAAACAACATTTGCGTGTATTTTGTTGCTGCTTCTGGTCAGGGTTTGAAATTGCTTGACTATTTTCAATGCATTCGCAGTTGCTTAACTACGACTAACACAAATAAATTAGCAAAAGCAGACAGCAAAAGCGAAAAAGAAAAATGATCTCATTTGCTTCAGCTTATAGAGCTGTTTGTTTTTGCTTACACAGTCAGTCAAAGCAACCAGTTTAGAAAAATTTGCTGTTGCTACAAGCTTTAAAAGGCAAAAAAGTGTTGCTATCAGTGATCGGACTTATACCACATTGTGGTAGAACTAACTACCACTTTTTTGAGCAACTACCATACAAGCTCTGAAGGCTACCACATATTTGCGTTTTGAAGTAGTTTAATTTTTGCTCGACATATTTTTTTATGTTTTTTTAATTTTGGGAGCAACACTAAACACAGTATGATAACAAGAATGAGAGATTACAAGATTTCGCGTTCCCAGCGGCGATGGGATTTAAACATTTTAACAGTTTTAAAAGCAAACAAAGCCGAATGGGAGGATAAAATAAAAATAAACTGTCAAAGAGTAAATCTTCTTAATATTCAATTGTTCGACAGTAAACGTGTTTCAATTGCCTTCAAATACAAAATATATGATTTATAAAAATAATTAATAAATATTGGAAGTATTAGTGAATTTTAGTGCATTTAAAGTCTCTGAGGCGTTGTTTACATTTACTTGAGAATAGGCTAAACCCAAATAGCAGTTTGTAGAACGCACCACCTTTGTTCACTAAATCGTATTGTAGTAAAAAAAAAAGCTGGCAGCACTCCGCAACGTTGGAGAAATCTCTCAAAGTAGGTTCGCAAAAAATCTTTATAAGGAAGGAACTGCTTTGCATTGTCAAGGCTGTTTTTAGTAACTTAAAATTTCCACTTTATTACATGTACTAAAATTTAAAATTTTTTTTTCTGGAGATTCTAAATGAAAAGTTTGCAATTTATGTGAAACGTTGCAATATTTTTTTAATTTTTGCACAAAGTTTGAAACTGGGATTATATGGTATTTTAGACAATGAACTATACTTTTGTAAAAAATTAATAAACCTTAAACAAACAAAAGAAAAATAGTCAAAACATGTTGAACCTTTTTAATCAAATTTCCTAGAAAGACTCTGAGTATGCAGTTTTGTAGTCCATTGAATTATAGTAGAGCAAAGTACAAGTTTCAAATAGCTAAAAATTACGGATGATTTTTTAGATTTTTTTTGGTCCCATTTGCCTTCATATAATGGATACACAATTTATTTTTATATGGAAGAAAGCCAAAACATTCTGGACAAAAAAAAAATTAAAAAAAAAAAAACGTAATTTTTAGCCATTTGAAACTTGTACTTTGTTTTACTAGAATTCAATAGGCTACAAAACTGCATACTCAGATTTTTTCTAGGAAATCTAATTCAAAAGGTTAGAAATTTTTACGAAAGTTTGATTTTTTTTTTTTTTAATATTGCACAAAGTTTGAAACTAGGATTTACACGAGTTTTGTTAAAGAATGTACTATATTTTTATAAAAAAATAACCAAAATTAAATAACAACAAAAATAATATGTTAAAACTTGTCCAAATGTGGGGCGGCTATAATTATTTCGACCACTATATTTTTCGGGCCTTGTCTTTTTTAGAGCCTTCTTTTGCCTTTTTTGCGATTTCTAGTGCCTTTCCCGCCTATTTCCCTATTATATTGTGCCTTTTCTAGCCTATTTCTTTATTTTATTTTGCCTTTTTTTATAAGTTTTTAGGCCCTAAAAATCCGTTCCCTGCTAATAACCTACTAACAATAACCGCTTTAAAGCATGACCATGTTGAGTAGAAGTTTACAGGTTGAAATGAATAATGAAATTGTCGAAAATTCAGGAAAAATCTTGTCCCGGCGGAACATTTCAAATTTAATGCAAAATACGGGACGTCCGGCAAATACGTGACATTTGCAACGCTAACGAAATTTCAGCTAAACATTTTATTTAGCAGTTCTGAAAATATATAGCAAAATAGCGTATTTTTATTATTTGACCATTAATTGAAAAAATCTAACAAATTGAAAAAATAAAAATCAAGGCCAATTCTACTAAATAGGTGGTGCTACTGGAGCAGATGATTTTCCTGATTGTCAAAATTATGTTTGTTGTAACTTTTTTTTTGTTCATCGTGCGTATAATTTGTTAGCGTAGTTATTTTTATGCAATATTTCTTAAATAATTAATTTGCAAGTGGGACCGAAATGGAAGCGAACAAGAATTCAAATTTGTTATAATAATAATTCAAATTTTAAACCCTGTTTGCAGCTCTCAAGAAAACGGTCAAGAAAAAATTGCCATTATTTCGCGTGTGTGTTCAAGGAATTTTGACATTTTTGATACCTCATAGCCTGTTGCCTCACTCTTTCATCAAGAAATAATGGAACGGGCATATGTTTCCGTTGCAAACCTGGGTTGCCTTGTGCTCTTTTTTCACAAAAAACTTTAGAAAACCGTAGTAGAAAGCGTGGTAAATTTGTTAAGAACTGCGTACTGCCTTAAGGAAATTTGACTCAAGAAAATTTCTTAGCCATTTCTTGTACGTCATTCTGTATGGAGTTTTTGCTTTTCTTGAGAGCTGCATACAGGCCTTAAAAGGTGATGTATAAAGAAAATCAGCATTTTTTCACTTCGAGTCAAATGAGACACTATCTTGAATGGAAATTTGGTTTATGCTTCCGTTTTGAATCACAGCGAACTGGGTCAAAGCGCTTTATGTGTTGGTATAAACAAGAGCGTATTTTTATTATTTGCACATTAATTGAAAATACCTATTAAATTGAAAAATAAAAATCAAGGCCAATTCTACTAGGTGGTGCTACTGGAGCAGATGATTTTGCTGATTGTCAAAATTATGTTTGTTTTATTTACAACAAATTTTTTTGTTCTGATTGACATCGTGCGTATAATTTGTTAGTGTAGTTTTTTATTTTTGTGCTGCCGCTGCCTTGTTTGAATTCGCTTTGATAAAAATAATATTGTACTTGAACGAATTTTCGAAATTTATTTTGTTAATCTTCAAAACTTCAAAAACAGTAGAAATCGTTCGAGAACTTGTTAAGAAGATAGAAGTGTTTTGTTTTTTTTTTGGTGTCGTGGCGATAGGCGACACAATTATCTTCTAATTGCTGACAGGGTCGTTTTCATGGCCAATTCATACAAGGTGGTGGTACCGGAGCTGCTGATTTCAAGACGAATTGTGCTGATTTTCAAAATGATGTTTTGGTTGTACATTTGTTTTTGTTCTGATTGTCATCGCAGGTATAATTTGTTAGTGTAGTTTTTTGTTTTGTGTTGCCGCTATCACCTTGTATGAATTCGCCTTGGGTCTTTTTAAAAGTAAATGTTAATATTAAATATAAAATGTTGATAAGCCACAAAAACATTGACAAATACAGTTAATATTTTGGTTTACAACAAAGCATGTTGTTTGTTATCATTGGTTCAATGCCTACAAATGATACAAAAACAAAACGACTTGAATCATCATTGTCAAAGAGAAAAAAAATATTATTGCATAAGAAAAAAATAGGAGCGGTTCGGGATAGATTTTTTTCCTTGTGCAATTAGACGAACCAGTATAAATCAGCTGCTGCCAAAAATATTTAAAATAATAAGAACTAGTAAAGATAATTTACCTTGAAAAATGAAACCAATGTGATATGTGGTACGTAGTTGTGAGCACCGTTCCAACCGCACACTATGCGCGACTTATTCCAAAATTCTTCCAGCTGTTGTAGAAAAGGTCCGGTCGGGCACGCATACAAAATGTATTCACGGGGATTACTTTCGTCTAATGTAGAATCATTTACGTGAGCAAGCAACCAATCGGAAGCGATTTGAACTCCTCTGTTACCAGTTGCAGCCAAGGCTTTTTCTCTGCATAAAAAAAAATATATATTTTCGAAATGAATTTTTTTTTGTGGGCGGCGGGATGCAAACATCGATATAAAGAAAAAGCGACATGAGACGGGAGGGATCTTTACACAACTTTTTTTTATTAAATATTATACTAGTGTCCGACCGAACTCGAATTTTTGACTGAAACCGAACCGAACACTCGGCTATTTTCTTGAAGTTTGGCCGAAACCGAACAGAACACTCGGCTAACTCGGCCGAACTTTTTAGAGTAAAAATTTCATAGCTTGAAAAAAGCTGTAATTTTACTCAGTGAAATAGTATACACAATATACCAAGCGAGATTACCATCGAATAAACGTTCCAAGCTCCCCCTTTATATTTACTCTCCAAACCGGATTGCCTTGAGCCATTGCATCTGTAAAGATGCTGCTCTCATTACCACTATAGTGCGTGTTAAACGTAGCAATGTAATAGGGGTATTCTTGATGTCTTGAAAAGCCCTTGCACGGAGCACATACTCGATACTTTTCGTCCGATACCAAGCAATTTTGGTATCGATACTTTTGAACCGAGTACTGAGTAGGTATCGGAAGAAAGTACTTGTATCGAAACCCGATTCAGTGACAATTTTATTCCCGGACTTTTATTTTTTAATCCAATTATCATTGTTAATAGTTAAAAATTGTTGGCAGTTTAGTTGCCAACGAAAAGAAAGTCCTACAAAGAAAGACCCATTATCCTCTAATCTGCGTGCACTTTTTGTAAAAACTCATATTTGGCTATAGGAAGCAAGATAAATTAAAAAACGCAATGTCTCCAAAAGGATTAACTAACGTGCTTGTTTTATTTCTTCCCATTTCTATTCAATTTAAGGCAAAATTACTAAGTCCAAAAGAGGCACAGAAAATTTGATAAGCTCACAAAAAATTCTAAATCTTTTAATTTGCAACGCAACCTTTTGCAAAACTCTTGAAGGAAATGTTTAGAAAGGTTGTTTTTCTCTCCAGTAAAATTTCTACAATTTGACTTAGCAACTTTTCACTCTTAGGCAAAGAACATAGTGACGCGACAAAGAGAGCGACAAGACATTTTCGCGATAATAGCGCCAAAAACAAACCTTTATTTTTCAATGTAGCAGCACATAGGGAAGCGAAAAGCGAAGAAAGCGGCAAAGAGCAACAAAATTTGTTTTCGTTGCTTTCTGAGCTGACGGTTGCTCCACTATGTTTTAACGTTTCTTGTATCTTTCTTCGCTATTATCAGAAAATGTCTTGTCGCTCTCTTTGCCGCGCCACTATGTTCTTTGCCTTAGCTAGCCATATGAATTAGAGGCCTGCAAATGTTGAACTATAAAACATAGCGACATGTGTCACATCATGCAAGTGCCAGTTCATACCCTGCAAGAACAGTGACTGCCATTTGACAAATCATTTGAGTAGCAAGACTGATAGAGATTTCAGTCACTGGCTACCTTCAACCCTACAAGAACAGTGATAGTCATTTGATTGATCATGTGATACTCACTGGTGATGGAGATCTCAATCAAGTATCTCTATCAACTTTTTAAGAGCAATATGAAAAACGTGATGTAAACATTTGTGTACATGTGATCTTCCGTCTTCCTCTAACTTACGGCCTTATTTAATGGTCTCTTTTTAACCAACGCAAAATTTGCAAATGTGTTAGTAAGATAAATGAGAATGTGTTAGTTTCCATCACACAATTCTTGTAGCGAAGTTTCTATCAAATTCTAAAGGGCAGTGTGAAAAATCTGATGGAAACTATTGTGTACGTGTGATGCTTCATCTCCTTCTAACATATACGTTCTGGCATATTGCTAGACTGCTTACTCCCTTTGAGTTCGGCATTCAAATTTTAATCATCAGTGATGTAAATCTTCGACAATTATGAGTGATCAATAGAAATATAAGTCAGTAATGTGCAATCAAATTTGATGTAATAACCGATCAATCATGACACATCAAGTCTGTCATGTTTTCATATCATTGTTGATTACTCACAGTTGATGTAAAAATTTGTCTAGTCTGATCTGTCTCCCACGATATAGAAATCTATCAGTAATGACACATGTAATACTTGTTTTTTCTTTTATTTTCATAAAATCTTATGAACTAATTATTCACCAAAAAATTAGAAGCTAAGTACATTACATCAAATTAGAAGCTTAATACATTACCCTAAGCACAGTACATTAAACATTAATAAACAAAGGAAATGTGGCCAAAAATTAAGCAAAATAAGGCGTTTCTATTATTTTTGCCACCAACGTACATATGTACTTAAATCTAATATCCTAATATTATACATTTCCAGCCGATATGTTTTTAGATTTTTTGGTGCAAGCGGTGATGGCTGAGCTCAATTGCCTTCCTGATTTCATTTTCGAACTTTCTTTTTAAATGCATCTAAGTGGATTGAAATAGATTATCAAAAAATTTGTATTGTTAAAAGATATGTACGTATGTATACGGTAGTGACCACATAATTAGGGATACTATTTATTTATACGTTTTGACCATTTATTTAGGAACTTGCGTCGATTTTGAGAATTTTTGACAAAGTATGTTAAAAAGGTTTATATATAGGTATATAGTTATAAATAAATAACGAAGAAATAAATGGTCAGAACTTGTTGTGTCCCTAATATGTGTTAGAGGTATACGCCGCCGGGCCACGCTGCCGCCGCACTATGGGCGATTTAGGGGAAAAAATTTTCAAAATCAAATTGCGCCTCTCAGAGGTGAGATAAATCAACGATTCTTTTTGTTGTGTAAAGGATTTTTATTGTAGAATAAGGGAAAATTACAAAGAAATGCGACTCTAAGGTTGCACAATTACAGGACTCATGGAAAGGACGAGAATTAAATAAAAAAATTAAAAAAAAAAACAGCATGACTCGTAAATGAAATAGAACCAACGTGGAAGTACAAACTTTCAAATAAGACCAATATCAATACAATCTATGGGGCCATTCCAGTGTTATGCGTGTTATATTTGTTACGCTAAGGATTTTTTGTTAATGTATGTATGTAAATCAGATCTACACCGTTAATTCGATTTTCAAAATGTATATGCCAAATTAAAACTTGACCTTTAGATGTGCAGTAAGGTTTAATTTTTTCTAAAAGAGTTGCCACCTGTTAAAAAATTATATTCAAATTATTTAAGAAATGGCTTTGAAAATGCTTTATTTTTAAACTACATGTAGGAGGGTTGCCACCTGTTTAAAAAGTTAAATTCAATTTCAGCGTTGTAACCTTAACTGGTAGAATAATTAATAATAACACAATCAAATTGAATATAACATGGTCAACATGAAACATAAGTCGTTCGTTAATAACACTGTGAGACAAATGGTAGGGGTCAGTGATCGGGAAGGGTTCAAACTACCGGGGAAAGTTATATCAGTAAAAAAGAAGTTATACGTGTCCCGGCGTTTCGCTGGGAAAACGTTATATGAACAGATTAAAGGAATTGTAATTTTTAATTTTTTTAAATTTGTTTGAGCAAAATCGGACTAGTGGTTCTCGAGTTATGTCAAAAAAAAGACCACCAAAGGTGACAATTTCCCCTATAAGATAGATATATATAAATCTCGATTCCTAGACGTGACCCAGCGAAACGCCGGTCATAATTATGGGAGCTATATGTTATAGACAGACAGACAGACAGACAGACGGACAGACGGGCATGGCTAAATCGACTCCGCTCGGCGTTCTTATCATTTAAGTATACATTTTAATGGGTCTATCTCTTCTTATTCTGGTACTTACAAACATCGGACCAAAGTTATAATACCATTTCATGCTCATGAAAAATAAAGTGGTCATTCGTTCTTTTCCGTATCATTTATAGACAGATTGTTAACGCAGAAGGAAGTGAAACAGAAGACGAGAGCATCTCAGGGTTTGACTCGATGCCAGCCCTGAGTAGGAGAATGCGTAGTGAATGTTGCCCTATGGACGGACAACTTCTGAGATACTTCGCCGACCTAAACGGGGTTAGATCGCCGAAACAACAGCCCTTGGTCGGGTGAAACCCGAGTCATTCCGGTACGTAGAACCGGCTGTCGTGGGACGGCATTCACAGGGACTCAGTCTCGAGTTATGTAGACTCTCGACCTGTGAATGCCGTTCTAGGCATACCACCCCCGGACATTGACGAGACAGAGCTTCATCTGCCTCGGGAGACACGCACTACACTTGCCCAACTTCGCTCCGGCTACTGCAGCAGGTTAAACTCCTACTTGAGTAGGCTGAATGAGGATGTGCCGAACGAATGTCCGGCATGCGGAGAGACCCCACATGACTCGAACCATCTCTTCGCATGCCCGGAAAACCCGACTACCCTAACGGCCCTGTCCCTGTGGACAGATCCCACAGAAGCTGCACGCTTCCTAGGGTTGCCGTTAGTGGAACTTGACGACAACGACTGAGATACCAACCGATCTGGGCGGGGTTGTTGTAGCCGCTACAACAACAACAACAACAACGAGAGCATCTCTAACAATGATTCTGATGAAGAACTTATTATATAATTATCATTGTTAGCTAGGTTAATTTTAATTTACGATTTGTTGACCATATCACTTTATATTCAATTTGATTGTGTTATTATTAATTATTCTACCAGTTAAGGTTAAACGCGGAAATTGAATTTAACTTTTTAAACAGGTGGCAACCCTCTTACATGTAGTTTAAAAATAAAGCATTTTCAAAGCCATTTCGATTGATACCCATATTGTAATATGTACATAATTCATTAACCTTATAAAAATAATTTGAATATAATTTTTTAACAGGTGGCAGCTCTTTTCAAAAAAAAATAAAACCTTATTGCACATCTAAAGGTCAAGCCCTTTAATTTGGCACATACATTTTGAAAATCGTATTAACGGTGTAGATCTGATGACATTAACAAAAAAATCCTTAGCGTAACAAATATAACACGCATAACACTGGAATGGCCCCATAGATTGTATTGATATTGGTCTTATT